TCCTGCCCCCCTGCATCTTTGTTCAGCTCCTCCATTAGTGACAAGCCTCACATTTGCACAACCTTTTTCCCTTCCAATGTACTTCCCCATCCATTATCTCAGGATTGTCACAACAAACACCCCTGGGAGGGGAGCAGGGCAAGCATTATTCTCCCCATTATATAGCTAGAGAAATCAAGGCCTAGAGAAGGAAAAATGGCTTAATCAAGATTATAGATTCAAGGGCTAACAGAAACAGAACCCAGATGTGCTGGTGGCCCATCCAGTGCCCCACCTTGTCAGAGGCCACAGTTCAGATAAAGAGTTAGAGTATTGTGAAGGGAATTGGGGCCTCCCCTTCAATCCCCTATTCTTAAGAAATGCTGGCTGATTAGCTGACTGACCTAGTCCCTAGATCAGTATCAACATCAGTGCTGAGAAGAATGCTAAATTTGGAGTCAAGAATCATGGACACAGAATCCCAGAGTCTGATGGGAGCTCGGTGAGCATCCAGTCTAACCCATACCTGAAAAGGAATTCTCTCTACCACAAATCACAGCCTCAGGTGACTGAGGACCTACAGAGAAACTGGCTCTCACCTGAGGAAGGCCACTTCACTGTTCATCAGCCCCCATCATTAGGAAGAGGTTGGTTGTTTGTTCCTTACATAAAGGCTTTTATTTTTTTCCTTGTATAAGAAATACTCTCCCTCTGCAGATTTTATGTCTGGAAGTTCAAGATATTACACTCGAAGGATATTTGGGGGACAAAGAGTCAGAGGAAATCCACTAGCCATTGTCTGATCCCTACCCCACCCCAAAAAAGGACATAGCTTGACCAAGTCCAGATATCAATTGAAATTACTCAACGTCTTAGCCAGAAAAAGGAAGTTTGAGTCAGAGCACCTTGGTTCAAATCCTTCCTACCCCTGTGTGACCTCGGACGAGTCACATCCTCTCCAGATCTCGTTGATTCCTTTGTTAAAAATGAACAGGTTAACCTATACAATTCTCTAGGTTTTGGTCTTTTTTTGTCCCACTTGTGAAGGGCAGTATTCCTGACACACTTTCCTGATCTGGGCTCTCCCCGGGTCTCTAGGGTCTCAGGCGGTGGAGTAAGGCTAGGGAGAAAAATGCCCTCCTCCCCAAACTTAAAAACTCATAAATTGTAACCCTGTCTCAGGCCATTCCCTCAGTAGGGGCCTCTCCGACAAACTGCTACCCCTTCTAATAAAATTGTAGCTAGTGAGGGGGAAGGGGAGAAAGAGAGGAGGCAGGGTGGATGAAGGAGTCAGAGTTGCCAGAGGAAGGCAAGGGCTGAAGGCCAGGGAATGGGGAATGGGATGGCCATACTTCTCATAACAAAGGGGATGCTGGGCCCATGGGCTTCTCCACCAGACACCCTGTGGTCATTCTGTTCATGGCCAACTCTTGCCCTGGGAGCCATATGCCCCATAGGTTTCCTGAAAGCAGCTGGAGGATGGGGCAAGTGGCAAGGTCTGGATGATGGGGACCCCTCCCCGACTCCTGGCAACTGAGTCCTGGAAAATGAGCTGGGAACAGATGGTACCCTGCCTGGGGTTAAAGGAGGAAGGCCTCAGAGGATCTCCCAATCCTAAGTCATCACTGTTTTACCATCCTGAGAAAGCTTCGGAGTCTGAAGATGAAGCCAGTAGTCCACTAACACCATGAGAACAGAAGTCAGCCTCTTAATGCAGAGGCACAGGTAGATGAAAGGGAGCAAGTCCGGGGGCGTTCAAAACTGTCTGAGAGGATTTCCTCTGACTGCCTAACATGGACTCCAAAACTGCTTTCAGCACCACCCCCCATCCTGATCCTATAAGGAAGGAAAGCTAAGTGCCAGGGAATGGGGAAGAATAGGGGCAATACCTCCTACCAAGTGCCCCTAAGTTTGGGGAACTTGGAGAGAAGTGTGGGTAGGTACTGAGTATCAAGCCTGGGGGGAAAGGGTAAGTGTTGGGAATAGGGGAGGTGGGCAATAACCCAGTGCAGAGAATGGGGAGAGGGGGCTAAGTGCTAATGGCATGGGGGAGATGAAGTGCAGAACCCACAGATATGGCCCCACAACACAACTGTTTTCTCACTCCATCCATGTCTTAGCACTTTATAACTCCAATCTTGGGGGTGGGGGAAGAGTGGAATGAGCTCAGGACAGTGTTTGATCCAGACCCTCCCCACCACCATGAATGCCACCACCTCAAAGAGCAAGAGGAGCGTCAACAAAAACGGAGACACTGATAACACGGGGCATCAGGTTCTGGCAGAGTCTTGGGCAGGACAGAGAGAGGTGGAAACCTCCCCACTAACCTTTAAGTTCAGCCTGACCTCCTTGCACAATGGGGCTGTGTCAACTGAGCCCCTCAGATTTGTGTGCTGGGACTCCACACACACACACACACACACACACACACACACACACACACAGAGGATTTCCTGGGGAAGCCTTGCTCCCTGATGAGAGGTCTGAGATCACAGCTGCCTCTTTTCCCCTGAAGTATCTGCTCCTGCTGCTTCCCATACTTTCAGTAAGTCAAATACTATCTCCCACCCACCCACCCAACTGCTTCCTTGCTGCAGTCCAGGCTGTAACGATCGTAAACTCGAAGATGTACAATTGAAAGGGACCTTAGATTTCATCTAGTATTCTCTCTTTTATAAATGGGGAAACTGAGGCACCGAGGGAGTTAGTGATTTGCCCAAGGTCACACAGGTATTAAGCTGGAATTGGACCCCAGGTTCTCTGGCTCCAGTGCTCTTCCCACTTTACCTCCCTACCTCTTTCCTCCCCCTTCCCAATACTGGTAAAGAAGGTAACTTAAGATACAAAGCAGGCATCAGCTTCTTCATAATAGGACATGTACACTTTGTTGTATCCCCAACGTCTAGTTCCATGCTTAGCACATAATAAGCATTTAGTAGATATTGGTTGAATGAATGAACAGTTAGCTTGCTCTGACCTAGAAACTAGACTGGTATTTCTTCCAGGTTCATTCAGTCACTCTCCAGGCTTCCCCCAACCCAGTCAAGTCCAGTATTAGTGTGCTGTGTGACCTTGAGCAAGTCATCTTCCTTCCCAGTGCCGCAGTTTGGGGATTTTTTTTCCCCTCAACCACCTCGGGCTAAGAATACCTGCCCCAGATACTGCCTTCCTAGCAGCAGGGATTCCGCATTCCTTTGCGAATCTAGCCAACATCAAAGAGCTCTGACTGAAAGCTTGCCCCAGGCTGCACCACAAACCACAGCAGGGATGAGAGATTTCTGGGCCAGACCCCGGACCCAGGTAGGGAGAGGCATTTGTGCATTGCAGGGGAAAGAGAAGAAAAGACATTTGGGAGTGAACGCCACCCCCTCCCATTTCAAAACCACAAGCCCGGGACTCCACCTCTCAGCCAGTATCCCCATCGTAGGAAGGACAAAACTAAGGCTAGAGTCAGAAATCCGCCAGGGGCCTCCAAGTTCACAAGGGACGTTTCCTAGGGCTAAGGCACTCCGCTACTCCTCCTTCTCCAACGCGCCCCCCAAAAACCACCCTGCTCTTTCAAATGTCAGAGCCTTATGTTGCCATCTTCCCTTACCCGCACCGTTCCCGGGCACTGCTGTAACAGGAGGAGGGAAAAAAAAAAAAAAAAGCCCTGGCATCCCAGGATCCTATCTGCCACCTGCCGGGAGCCATGTCCTTCCCCGGCCAGCCTCCAATTGGCCCCCTACCCCGGGAAAGCCTGCCGGAGGGAGACTCAACCAGCCAGATAGGTCTAGAGACTCAACGAGAGAGCCTGAGCCATCAAAACCCCTTTTGCCCCCTTGCCCAGCGAGCGGTTCACCCCGGGGAGGGGGACCAATGGCCGCTGTCCCGCCCACCCCTGCTGGGCTGGGGCTGCACCCCGAGGAGCAGCCCGCAGGTCGGGGTGCAGCTGAAGGGCAGAGTGACGACTGGCCCCCTCTTCTCGGACAGCCACACACACTCCCAGGAGCCCTGAGCCAGGCACCCCCGCTCACGTGGCGGGGCGAGGGGGCGAGAAGGGTCTTTGTTCCCGCAACAAGAGAAGGAATACCAGCAGGCAGGCGGGGTCTGCAATAGGCGAAGCTGAGAGAGGCGGTAGCAACGCGTGCCACGCTCTCTGCAGCCCCAGAATAGAAAGAGAGCTCGGGGCCGCCAGCCCCCGGGCCCCGCTCGGCCGGCTGGCAGCCTGCTGGAGGCAGGCCCAGCGGCGCCCCTGCACGGCGCTCCCCATCACCCCACGCTAGCTAGAGACAGCGGAACACAGAAGGACGGGGCCGGGGCAGGTCACCCTCAGGCTAAGGAGAAAGTGTCTCGGGAAAGGGCATTTGGTGCAGCAGGAGTGTGAGCTGAAGTTGGGGCGCTCGGAGATCCTCTCCATCCAGTCTTTTCTCCACTTCCCTCCCCCCTCAAACGCTGCAGATTTGGGCTGCGGGCAGGTCTCGGTGGAGACTGAGCTCCAGGCTCAGGCAGCCAGGGATCGCCGCCGCATTAACGAGGCTCTGGCATGCGACACACACACACACACACATATATATATACACACACACTCCCACAAATCCAGACACACACTGACTGGCTCTCACTCTGACACAGGAACACACCAACAAACATGGACCACACGCCGGCATACTCACATACGGATACACACCCCGACACAGACGTACACTCACATCCAGTGATGGATACATGGACACAATCCGCTCCCACATACCCATACTGACAGACTTACTCACACGTCCAGTGGCACACACAGACCTAGACCCCGACACACATGGCTGCACTCGGACACACTCATCCAGGCATACTCGCGCTTGCCAGGCGCCGCTGCTGCTTGCTGCCACACGCGCGCGCGCACACACTCACACACACACACACACACACACACACACTCGTGGACACACACTGACCCCGGCTGACAAACTGACCCTCTCAGCGCCAGCAGCGAGCGGGCGCCAGCGCTGGCTCCCGGCGCTCGCCTGCTGCCCTCAGAGCGCACCCACCTTTCCAGGCTGCGGTGATGCGGGGGCTCGTCTTGGAGTGGCTGCCGGCGGCTGCGGCGGGGACGGCGGCGGCGGTTGCGGGAGTAGCAGCGCGGAGCAGCAGCAGAAACAGAGGGAGGTCCAGGAGGCGGCTAGCCCTAGGTGCGCGCCGCGCAGCGAGCCGCGGCGAGGGATCAGGGCGCCGAGTTGGGAGTTGCTGCAGCGGTGTCATGGCCCGGGTGGGCTGAGGCTGCGGGGCCGGGAGCCTAGAGAGCTAATGCCACCCGAGCTAGCGAGTGACTGGAGGCAGCGCCGTGCAAGCCGAGCCACACCAACCCCAAGCCTGGGGGCGGAGTTAGGGACGGGCAAGCACCAGCGCGGGGCACGCCCTCCCCTCTCCGCCCACCCCACCCCCCACCCCCGGCTTCTGGCCGCTGAGGGCAGTGGGGGCGGAGCGGGGTCCGGGGCCAGCAGGTAACTGGAGCGGCGGGAAGGGCTACCGGGATGCCTAGGTCCGGTGCGCACCCCAAAGCTCCGCTTCCCTCCCCCTGCCTTATTAGAAGAATTAATCACACGCGCGCGCGAGCCCTTCAAGTCCGGGAGATGCCCAAATGGTAGAGCTTAACAGAAGAATGAATCATCCCGGGGAAGCCTCCTGGCTGAGAAAGCACCTTTTCGAGGTCCTTTTAGCCAACACGCTTCAGGCTGGGTAGCTGATACTTGGAGACTCTGAAACAATGAGGCAGTGAGGTGAAGCGGATACCGCACTAGGCTTGGATCCGGATTTGAAAACCACCTCCTCGATAAAGCGGGAATACTGATACCTGCAAAGCGTCTCTCAAAAGGTTCTTGAGAGATAACGTATAGCAAGTGCTTTTCAAACTTTAAAGCGCTACATAAAAGACAGCTATTATTACACGAGCTAGGTGGCAGCAGTGGATAGAGCCAGGAAAACGTGAGTTCCAATATCGCTTCAGATACTTATTTGGCCGTGTAATCCTAGGCAAGTCACCGAGCTTGTTTGCCTCAATTTCCTCTTCTGTAAAATAGAGATGTTGATGATGATGATGATGACAACGACGACGACGATGATAGATGCTACCTTCCAGGACAGTTGTGAGGATCAGATGACAAAATACTTGTAAAGGCTTTGCAAACCTTAAAGAGTTATATAAAGATAACTATTATTATAAACAAATGGAAAATTTCACAATCACCTTCCCTTTACAACATCACCCCACACACACAAGTAAGCAGTCTTGTCTTCCCCCCTGCTCAAGTTTACATTCATGAAACCAACCCTGAATTGTGACTGTCAAGGACTGATGACTGCCAGTTTAGGGTTCTTCGGGTTGGCATCAAGATAAAATGTATATAGCCATGCTGATCAGTACCGTCTCTGCATGTATAGCCCTAGAGAGTTTCTTAGAGCTTTGTAAGGTTAACTGACTTGTCCTGGCATAGGCAGGCTTTGCACCTGTCTTCCTGCCTTTGAAGTTGGCACTCTTCACACAGCCTCTGCCCAAGGGTGGTGGTGGTTGTTCAGTTGTTTCCGACTCTTCATGACCCCATTTGGGGTTTTCTTGGCAAAAATAGTGCCATTTCCTTCTCCAGATCATTTTACAGATGAGGAAACTGAGGCAAGCAGGGTTAAATGACTTGTTCAGGGTCACACAACTAATCGAGTGTCTGAAGGCGCATCTGAACTCAGGTCATCCTGACTCCAGGTCTAGTGCTTTATCCACTGCGCCACCCAGTGGCCTCCTTAGAGCTCCTTGCTACCTTCAAAGTTGAGCTCAAGGCCCACTTCTCACAGGTAACTATCCTGATCTCTGGTCCCTTCACTTGTATCCTCCTGCCCCTTCCTCTCCTCGGTGCTCCATGAAAGAGGTCGCCTGCTTAGGCCCAGAAACTAGGTGGGCATTTCCTCTGCTCGTTCAGGCTTTCTCCAGCATTTTGACTCCCCTCAAATCCCTATCCATATATATTTTTCTTTGTACCTACAATTGCTGCCTTCCAATAAAATGTAAATTCCTTGAGAGCAGAGGCGGTTACTTTTGTTGTCTTTGTATTCCCAGACTTGGCACATAGTAATATTTAAGAGATCTTTTTGAATTAAGTAATTTAATTCAATAAATATTAAACTCTTGCTGTGTATGGTGAACCTGCTTGGTGTTAGGGGAGATCTGAAGTGTAGATTAAAAAAAAGATTCTCATTCTCTCAGAGTTTATAGTCTAGCAAGGAAGAAAATCTCCTTGTTGGTAGATAAAAATAGGTGGGGAAGATACAGTATGGTGTGTAAGGGGAAAAAGTACTGGATGTGGAGTAAAAAGGCCTGAGTTTGACTCTAGGGTTCAACATATAACTAACTATGTGACCTCAGACAAATCACTTCCCCTTTCTGATCCTCAGTTTCCACAACTGTAAAATGGAGCACCTGTGCGGTTGAGTGGATGGAGAGATGGCCACACAGTCAGGAAGTCCTGGATCCAAGTTCTGCCCTGAGACATATTGTCTGTGTGACCAAGGTGAAGTCACTTAACCTCTCAGTGCCCCTAGACAACCTCTGAGCCTCTTCACTGCGGAGCAGGTCTAACCTGCCCTCATAGGGGGAGATTCTTACTGGAAGTCCCCTACAATGATGAAATTGTATCCTGGGACCCTGAAACATCACATAACCCCTCTGATCTGCAACTTCACAATGCAGATAACAGTCACAGAATCATAGATTTCAATCTAGAATCTTAAAGGTCGTGGAATCCAACTCTCTCATTTTACAGATGAGGAAACTGTGTTTAAGCCTAAAAGAGGTTATGGGATTTGTCCAGGTTACATAACTAGTATGAGCCTGAGGTAGTAGGATCTGAACTCAGGTCTTTCTGACTATAAACACAGAAGAAAACAAAATTACAGGATTTAGGATTAGGTTAGGATTAAGGTTGGGTAAGGGTTAGGATTAGGGTTATTTCGTACATTGTGCCACCTAGTGGCCAGTCCCTATCCTGCCTCTCTCCCACGGTTGCTGTGAAGAGCCCATGATATACTCAAATTCTATGATGCCATCCACACTGCCTGCCCTGTTCTGTCTCTTTCCAAGTCCTCCAGTAAATGCACCACTCAGGGGAAGAGAAAGGAATGGAATCTACCTAGTACATTAAAGGCCTTCCCTTCCTTGCTTTTTTCTTGACAGCCCAGGAATCCCACACAAGCAGTCCAAAGTTTTACTGGTCTCCTGTGCTCTGCCTTAGTCAGACAAAATTCAGAGGAGTTAGCTGTTCAGTTCCGGATGCCACCATTATAAAGGATATTGATAAGTTAGATGAAGGCAATCAGGATAATGAAAGGTCTGAAACCATGTCATGTGGAGGTTGGCTAAAGAAACCCAGGGATGTCTAGCTTCTAAGGGACATGATAAATGTCTTTAAGAATGTTAAGAACTCTCAAGGGGAGAAGAGATGAGGCTTGTGCTATATGGCCCCAGAAGGTAGAAAGAAGCTGGAGGAAAGGGTGGAAATTTCAAAGGGGCCCCATTTAATCTTGATGTCAGGAGGACCATCCTAATTGTCCCAAAGTGGAATTCAATGCCTCAAGATGAGGTGGGCTTCTCCCTGCCTCCACTGGAGGTCTTCAAGCAAAGCCTGGGTGACCACTTATCAGAGGGCTCTTTTCTAGGGGGAAAAAATGATGGTTGAGGTTGCCTCCAACTCTGAAATTCTATGGTTCGGTGAAAAGAAAAGCTGCCCCACACAGGTCAAGTCATTATCAAAGCAAGAGGGTGGTTTTTGTTTTTTGGTTTTTGTTTTATCTTTAAAGAATAGCCATCTTTGCTAGTACTATTGTTCTGGAATTCTTGCCCAATTACTTCCCCCACAACCATATGGAGTTCGGTCAAAAAGGCAAGGCTAGGAGGGAAATCATGAAAAAGCTGAAGAACATTGGTAGGGTGGAGCTTTGGGGTGTGGCGTCCCCAAAAGACCAAGATCAGAGAAAGGAACCAACCCATATATGGCTTGGTTCCCAACCAAGTGTCTCTATGGTTAGATTTTAGTTAACTTTAGGTCAGAAGGCAGTCTGGTTCTTGGAGACCCTAACCTAGGCTGTTGCATGCGGTAGTGGCTAGACAGTTGACCTTGAAACTGGAAAGACCTGAGTTTGAATCCTGCCTCTGATACATCCTGGCTGTGTGACCCTGAGAGAGTAACAAAAGCAAAAACTCATTAGGAGCCTACTGCAAGTCACTTAACTCCTCAGTGCCCCAGACAACTCACTTAAACTATAAATTACAGAGAAGATTCCAGATTTTCGTGGTCAAGGCAACAAGCATTTGTTTAACACTTGCTGTATGCCAGGCACTTCTCTAAACTAGGGATGCAAAAATAGTCCCCACCCTCAAGGAGCTCACAATCTAAAGGAGGAAACAACATGCAAATAACTATCATATAAATAGACAAGATCTACACATATTAACTTGGATCCCAATGGGAAGGCACTGACATTGGTGATGAAGCTACTCAGTGGGAGCTCCCTACATGGATGAAATCAGTCAGTCAATGAGCTCTTTTTAAACAGGTGTGATTAAAAAAGAAGAAGAAGAAGGGGAGGGGTGTTAATGAAGAGATGGAGGACGGTTTTCAGGAAACTAGAGAAGAATAGAGGGGCCAAGAAAATCTGTGAGGAGGCACTACAATAATCCAAGCAGCTCTCTAAGACCCTGGATTAGGGAGGTGGCAGTAGGAACAAGAGAAGAGGGAATAAATGTGGATGATATTACAGAGATAAAAGTGACAGGTCTTGACCTTGACTGATTGGAGGGGAGAGGAGAGGAGAAGGGGAAAGTCCAAGATAAAAAGTAAATACCAAGGTTTTAGCCAGGAGAGATACAGTGAACAATGGTGCCATTGTCAGAAATTTAAAGTTAGAAGGGACAGTAGTTTGGAGGAAAGGAGGAGGAAGATAAGCTTTTTAGTTTTTTTGTTTTAGATCTATTGAGATTGAGATGCCATTGGGAAAGCCAACAATGGTCTTATTTTAGGAAAGTGGTCCAGACTGGCAGGATAAAGATTGGAGAGTAAGCAACACTGAGGTGATAGAGGAAGATAGTGGAAATAAGGTTGCTGAGGGAGAGAGGGGAGAGAGAAGAGTCTAGGGCCCAAGACAGAATGCTGGGGGACATCTACCTTAATGGGTCAGGAGGCAATGAAGAATACAGAGAAGAAACAGTTAAATATAGAGGGTCCAGGAAAGGAAATGTCTCTGAAGACAT